CCACCCTTGTCGAAATGATCAACCATGAATCTTGATGAGGAGCAGTCAATGTTGAGTACGTATGGGTCTTCGACTCTTCGGTGTAGAGTGTAGGCTGTGTAGATGTGTTCGATCATTAATTAAGTTATGCATGATACCGCTAACTAGCCTATAAATAAGAAGAGTCTTACGTTGTTTGATCTATAATGTATTGTGCCAGTGGTGACCAAAATTAAAAGAGTGAGTAGTTTGAGAGAAGAAAAAGGGTAAGAAAGTTTGTGTGAGGTTATTCCCCTTAACAATTCCAAGTGTGTTTAGAAGAGTGGCAGCCATGTCGTCGTCATCATATATGTTACTCCTTTCATTTATGACGGCCGGCCACACAACAAAATGTTTCCCTCACATTTTTTAATTTATGCAAGCAATTGTAACCATATATATTTTTTACGTACACTAAATCTTGATCAATTACCATCAAACTTAATATATGTTAATAGAATATATTTTAGGGATATTTGTTTCCTAAAATATATTTAGGAATATTTGTTTCCTTTTGTACCTTGAACTCTCTCATTATATATTGATCTGCCAGGACTCCTATTGGAGTACCTTTTCTCAAATAATCTCACATGGTATCAAGAGCCTAAAAGAAAACCCTATTTTTTTCTCTCTTCCCTTTCCTGCGACCGTGTTCTTCGTTCGGTGTCGCTGCCATGTCCGACGAACATTCCTCCATGGCGCCGCTGACTACTTCTACAACCACACCACCTATTTCTTCTATGGTGAGTGCAGGTTTCTCTTCTTCAGCAGAATCATCTTCCACAATTATCACTCCGGCTCATACGCAGCCTCCGATCTCTACTCCTCTGGGATCATTCACTATGCCGCTGCCACTCTCCGATCATATGGCGTCGTCTTTTTCGCCATACACGACTGCTCCGGACTACTCTCTATTTAGTACGCTGCCTCCCCAATTCCCATGGCAGCCGCAGAGTCCTCTTCTTCATCAGCCCGATGTTCGCCCGCCACCACCAACGCCGTCCAGCTCTTCTTATTTTGGGCCGTCGTTTGCTGGCTTTCCAGGTGTGCGGCGACCGAGTCATGACAATTCCTTCCTTGGTTCTCCTATGGCTGCCCTGGCTCACTCCGTTTCTCAGGGCATTGCAAATGTCGGGCAGATTGTGACTATTAAACTCAAAGCAGTAGAAGACTACTTGACATGGAGAACTCAGTTTGAATCATTGCTTGTGTCTCAAGGCCTCTTTGGTATGATAGATGGCTCTATTCCGGTACCTCCCTTAACCACATTGAATTTTAATAATCAACAGGTCGTTAATACTGATTATTATCATTGGCTCAGAGTAGATCAAACAATTCGTTCTTGGTTGTTTGCTACTTTATCTCGTGAAGTATTAACTGATGTGCATGATATTAAACATTCGTGTCGTATATGGGAGCGTTTACAGTCACGCTTTATGTCTGCCAGTTTACCCCGAGCCATGGAACTTAAACGTTTATTAACTAATATTAAAAAGAAGGCCAACCAATCCATGGAAAATTATTTGCGTGAACTCAAAAATTTGGCAGACGCATTAGCCACCATTAATTCTCCTGTGACTGATAGAGAATTACTTCAAAGCACTCTTGCTGGATTGGGACCGGAATATAAATTTGTTACAGGCACCATCTCCTTATTTCCTGAGAGCTTTCCGCCGGATATACTTCATCCCCGCCTCATGGAAGCCGAACAACAGATTTTGTATGAACAACAACAAAATGCCTCCTTTCAGCCGGCGTTTGGAACTCAAGTTCATGTTGCGCAGCAAGTTCAAACAGCCGCATACCGCGGCAGAGGAGGCCGCGGCAGAGGCGGAGGCCGCGGCAGGGGAGGAGCACGCGGCAGAGGACGCTACCAGCCATCTCAGGGCTACGGGCAGCCCGCCTATCCACCGCAGGGTGTCGGCCAAAACCAGCAAGGACCTCCTACGGCCATGGTACCTCCAGCAGCAGGGGGTGGTGTTCCTCCCAGACCACTTAATGCGGCATCCGGTAAATCTGTTGTGTCCACTTTAAATATTAATGCTAAATCTACTTTTGGTACTCACTTTCGTCATGCAGGTTTTCCATCAGCTGAGGGTATTCTTGGTTCAGTTCCTCCACCAGCCGTGTGTCAGATTTGTTTTTCTGCAGGTCATTCTGCCTTACATTGTCCGTCCCGTTTCTCCCAGCCATCTGCACCGGCGTTGATAGTTCCGAGTGGCGAATCAAATAATGCTTTGTGGTACCCGGACTCCGGTGCCTCGGCTCATATGACATCTTCTGAAGGTATTTTGTCTAATAAATCTTCTTACTCTGGCCCTATGACTATTAGTGTTGCAAATGGTACTAAACTTCCCATTGCTAGTATTGGAGATATTACATTAAATACTCCCAGTCGCCCACTGTCCTTAAAATCTGTTTTTCATGTGCCTCAACTTAAATTTAATTTAATTTCCATTCAAAAATTGTGTGCTGATAACAACTGTGTTGTGATTTTTGATAAAAATTCTTTTCTTGTTAAGAACAAAATTTCGGGGGCGGTTCTTCTTCAAGCGCACCATAATGGTCCTCTTTATCCTGTCAGCCTCAGCCCTCCTGCTTCCGTAGCCTTAGCTTCTGTCACTTCTTCTGGCCCTGTGTGGTACCGTAGACTAGGACATTGTGGTGATTCTGTTTTGCGTCTGTTACGCACTAGAAAACTTATTACTAGTTCCTCAAATTTTGAACATGATTGTGTTTCTTGTCGCTTGGGCAAATCTCAACGTTTACCTTTTTCGGATGCTAGTCATAATTCTACTGCACCATTGCATTTAATTCATTCTGATGTGTGGCAATCTCCTGTTTTATCTAATTTAGGATTTAAATATTATGTTTGTTTCATTGATGATTTTTCTCGTTTCACATGGGTATATCCCTTGCGCACGAAAAATGAAGTATTTACTCAGTTTCGTTTGTTTAAACTTCTTGTTGAGAATCTTTTTAATGCCAAGATTAAAGTTTTTCAAAGTGATGGAGGGGGTGAATTTGTTAATTTTAATATGCAACAATTTTTTGATGAACATGGCATCTATTTTCAAAAATCTTGCCCTCATACTCCTCAACAAAATGGTGTTGCTGAACGTAAACATCGTCATCTTTTGGAACTTGCTAGAACTATGCTTATAACAGCTTCCATTCCTAGCACCTTTTGGGTTGATGCTATTTTTACAGCTGCATATATTATTAACAGGCTTCCCTCTCCTACTCTTTTTGGTGTCTCACCATATGAAAAACTGTTTCAAAAAGTCCGTGACTATAATTCTTTAAGAATTTTTGGATGTGCATGTTATCCTAATTTTTCTGCCACGTCTGCCAATAAACTTTCTCCTCGTTCTATTCAATGTGTTTTCCTCGGCTATGCATCTGGATTTAAAGGTTATCGTTGTTTTGAGCCCAAGTCAGGCAAAGTTTTTATTAGCAGACATGTTCGTTTTCATGAAAATAGTTTTCCATACACCACGTTGTCTTCGTCTACGGGTCATACCACCTCTCTTGATCCTGAATTTACACTCACTAACACTGCCCCAAGTACTACACGCCCGCCCAGCTATTTCTACACACCCAGCTCTTCCTTCGGTTACCCCTGCCACTAGGAGTCCCACTGCCACTGACCCAGTTCTAACCGAAACCTCCAGCCCAAGTGTAAGCCCCACGTCCTCACCTACTCCTCAGCAAACTCCATCCCCACCACCCGAGACCCCTCTGCACGACCATATATCCGTCTCCCCTCCTACTTCTTTCCCTTCCTCTCTTCCCCTTACCGAGCCATTGCTTACTGCCCCTTCTGATACTTCCCAGTCTGTTCTACCTACGGCCGACATAACTTCTTCACCCATACCTCACGGCCAGCCGACAAATAATCACCCCATGCAGACTCGGGCAAAGTCGGGCATTTTTAAACCAAAAACAATTTTTAATTTGAACACAGTTGCTTTATCAGTTGATCCTACATGTTTTACAGAGGCCAATAAACATTTAATATGGCGTGCGGCAATGGCTGAGGAATTTAATGCTCTTATTTCCAATAATACTTGGGACTTAGTACCGTTTGATAATTCTAAAAATGTTGTGGGCTCTAAGTGGATTTATAAGACTAAGTACAATTCTGATGGTTCTATTGAGCGCCATAAAGCTCGTTTGGTCGCTCAAGGTTTTAATCAACAGGCAGGTGTAGATTTTTCTGAAACATTTAGTCCTGTCATAAAACCCACCACTGTTCGTATTGTTCTTACTTTAGCTATTTCTTTTGGCTGGGTCATTAGACAGTTGGATGTTAAAAATGCCTTTTTGCATGGTCACCTCACAGAGGAAGTTTATATCCGTCAGCCGCGGGGTTTTATTCATCCTTTATTTCCTCATCATATATGCAGATTGCGAAAAGCCATTTATGGTCTTAAGCAAGCCCCGCGGGCATGGTTCCACCGTTTCAGTAGTTTTCTTCTCTCTCATCACTTTACATGCAGCAAGTCTGATAATTCTTTATTCATTTATCGCCAGAATAATAATGTCATCTATTTATTACTATATGTGGACGACATCATTATTACTGGCAATTCTTCTGCTGTTATAACTTCCTTTATTCAGCTTGTTGCTACACATTTTGCTATGAAGGATCTGGGTGATCTTCACTATTTTTTAGGAGTCCAGGCCGTGCGGACTGCTAAAGGGTTGTTCCTTTCCCAGCATAAATATGTGTCTGATCTTCTCTCTCGTTTCCATCTTCACACGCTTAAGTCTGTACGTACTCCACTTGCTACTCGCACGTCTCTTTCCCTTACTGATGGGGAACTTCTTGCAGATGCTACTGAGTATCGTAGTATGGTTGGTGCGTTGCAATATTTAACTTTGACACGACCTGATATTACCTATGCTGTTCATTTAGTGTCTCAATTTATGCATGCTCCACGTACTACTCACTTATTCGCAGTCAAGCGTATTTTTAGATATTTGCAGGGGACTCTTGATCATGGATTATGGCTTCAGCCAACTACTCAGGCCACGTGTATTCTTGCTTATTCCGATGCAGATTGGGCAGGCTGTCCTGATACATCTCGATCCACGACTGGGTTTGCTGTATTTTTGGGTCCTAATCTTGTCTCGTGGAAATCCAAAAAGCAGCCTACCGTCTCTAAATCTTCTACAGAAGCTGAATATAGAGCTGTGGCATATACTGTTCAGGACACTTTGCATATCCGTTCAGTACTATTTGAACTTGGGTTTCCTGTCTCGGCTCCAGTTAAGCTATTTTGTGACAATATCTCAGCATCCTACTTGACTGCTAATCCCGTCCAGCATGCTCGCAGCAAGCACATTCAGATAGACTATCATTTTGTCAGAGAGCGTGTGGCTCATGGAGATCTTGTTGTGAAGTACATTCCTACACAGTTGCAGTTGGCTGATATTTTTATTAAAAGTCTCTCTAGTCAACAGTTTCATTTTTTAAAGGACAACCTGCGCGTTGTTTCTCCCGCACAGTTTGAGGGGGTGTAATAGAATATATTTTAGGGATATTTGTTTCCTAAAATATATTTAGGAATATTTGTTTCCTTTTGTACCTTGAACTCTCTCATTATATATTGATCTGCCAGGACTCCTGAGTACCTTTTCTCAAATAATCTCACATATGTATGTACTCGTATAATGTAGTATGTTTGGAATCATTGGATGGATCTCCCTCTACATACTATTTTCGAAAAGAAGGCCAGGGACGTAATATGTGGCTTATATTTCTACAAATAAGTGATATTCGACATTTCAGACTTTTTTTTGCATGGCCTTGTAACCCTGATATTCGAAGTAATACGTAGAATTTTTTTAATTGAGAAGAAAACGCTCCTTCTCAACTAGTCAACTAAACCGTGTCATGCACTCATGGTCCCGTTATTTTATGAGATAAGTATGGATAAAACTTAATGAGTTTCTCAATCTAAGACTTAATGATTTTTTTTTAAATAATACTAAAAAACGAAATATCTAATTAAAATTCGAAATAATTAAATAATAGATATTTTTTGTGGACAAATATACCCTTTAAGTTATATGTATAAAACCCTAATCTTCTATCCCATTTTCCCATCCGTAGCTACTGCCGCCGCCCACCCACGCGTATAACCTCTGCATATAACCTCCGTATATAACCACAGCGAATAACCTCCGCTGCCACCATCGCAGCCGCCCCGGTCGAGTCTCCATCCACCGTCTAGCCGCCGAGCACCGTTCAGAGCTGCCGCCTGCCATAGATCTCTTGCCTGGGAGCACAACCGCAGCCTTCCAACGACCGTTCTCAGACTGGGAGCACAATCGCCTGACCTATGTGCCCAGGTGCCGCCCGACGTCAATCCGTCGTCTTCCTCCTGCCACGGACACAGAGTTCAGCGAAATCCAAATAGCGAAGTATTTTCTTTTCTTTGAGGCAGTTTTTTCCAAAGATTTCAGGGAAAATATCCTCAAAGACGATCTACGGTTTCCTCTATAGCGTTTAGATTTTTGCAGCCCCAAATCGAGTTCTTCCCTAGAACTTCTAGACCTGCGTCCATCATTTTCTTTTCTTTATCCATGGCTAATTTCAGGTTTAATGTTTTGGGTTGTTATTGAAATGTCTGGTATTATTATTGGGGTAGCTATGAAATTTTCGAAAATCACAAAAGAAAAGGATTTGGACGATTTGCTACATACCCAGATGCGAAATCGTGAATTCTGGAGCATGATGGTTGTTTGGCATTTTTTCTACCTCTAGTATTGATAGTAATACAATGAATTTTTTTGAACTTGGAGATTGGGCATTGAACATGGACAATGAATGAATGCACTAAGTGTGTTGTTGAAAGAAAATGCAATAATTATGGCCCGTAGTGTAGTAATGCAGAACAATAATGCCGTCATGACATGCAATATATTTAATTTTATATAAAACACTAAAATTATTTAAAAAAACTATAAATAATGCTAGTTGTAGTGCAATGATTATTACCGAATGTGAAGTAATGCCGTGTAGTAATGCCGTGCAGTAATGTCGTGCAGTAATTTATGCAGTAATTTTAATTGGCTGAAACTAATGCATATATTTTAAATAAGGGTATTTTCGTCATTCAACATTTACATAAAAACGTAATTTTCTTTTTTCTTTTGGATTTTCAGTCATACAAATATCAAAAAACTAAGTTAGTCATATTTAGAGAAACTCAATGAGTTTTAGTCATATTCTAGAAAATTTCCCTTATTTTATTGAAGGTAGGAGGTTGGTGTGGTACTCAAGTTGACTGCAAACACGCTCTAACTCGTCATCCACGCTGATGCCACAATTCACATTGTTCCTATGTTTCCTTTCCAATGATTCACAAACAAATCCAGATAAAGGGTATCTACCATTTGATACAATTCTTGGGATAAATTTTTATTTTGCTACTCGATCAATATATTGGGGTAGTATTAATTTGCTTTGGTGATTAATTTATAAATATTGTGTGTAGCCTTCTACTATTGGAACAAGGTTTTTGTTCCATACTGTGATGGTTCTTCATTCACTGGAAATATGGAAGCTACTGATAGTGTAAGTACTTCTAGATGTAATACTATACTTTCACGTTTGTCAACACACAACTTTGACTGTAATTATATTTAATTATGTATTAGTAAACATTATACAAAGTTGATATTTTAAAAATTCACATTGATAGGAATTCAATAACATTTTATACGTAATAATTTGATTATGAGCCCGTTTGGTAGCACCAAAATCGGCTGTTTTGGCTGATTCTGCTGAAATTTATGATATTCTGGCTGGAGTGGCTGTTTTGGCTGATTCTGCTGATTTAAGAAAAAAATATTTTAAAAATATATTTTATTAATAAATTAAAGAAAAAATTATATGTAAAAATAGCTAAAATGGTCCTCTACAGTAACTTCAGCCAATACAGCCAGAAAAGTAACTCCAACCTTACTTTTTCGGCTTATTGCACAATTCAGCGCGCGAAAGTAAAAGTTACGTGTTTGGTGAAAAAGCTGGCTGATAAGCCTGATAAGCCGAAAACAGAGTTCTCCAAACGGGCTCTATATATATTAGTAGAAAATCGTGATCAAGGTAAGATATGTGAATAGTGTAAAAGTTACAATGTTGCTAGAATTAAAGAACGGAGGAAGTATGTAATACTGTATTAATTAAAATATATGCCTCATCACAATATACTACGTATATGATTGATACAATATATACCACACTTGATAAAACTGAACGAAAAGTTAATTGTACATAATTACCATTGGCTTAGCTTGAGCCTTGGGATTCATTTTCGTAAAGCACTTGACAAATCGGAATTATTGTCATGAACTTTTCTCATAGGAAATGTTTTATAAAATGCATAAAAGTATATATTAGTAAATTAATAATGTTAATATGACGTTATTAGCTTATTTAAACGAGTTATTTTGTCGATATATTTACGAAGGTTACCAATGTAACCTATCGAGGACTAAGAATATTTCAAGCAACAATGGAAGATTTCCTTTTCAAGGGAATGCAACATGAGCAAAATGTAATAGGCTAAGAGCATCTTCAATGCTATAATGTCCACGGTGCACATGTGTCATGAGTGATAGCCACATAATTATTAGGAAATAAATTATTTCTCTCCTTATTTGAATGATTTTATATAATTTTAGTAAGTTTTTCCCTGCAATGTCAACAACAATGTCAACATTAGACGGTCTCTTTGACATTGTGGAGAATAACTTACCAAAACTGTATAAAATCATTCAAATAAGGAGAGAAATAATTTATTTACTAATATTTATGTGGTCATCTCTCATGCCACGTGTGCACCGTGCACATTGTACCATTGAAGATGCTCTAATATAATTAAGAATCTACCTAATAGATATTTAGTAATCTGCCTAATATCTATTTAGGAATACTTTGTATTTTGACAACTCTTCTATTATAAATATATCTGTCAGGACTCCTATTGGAGTACCTCTTTCCCATTATTTCACATGGTATCAAGAGCTCTAGGTTTGTAGATACAATTTTTTTCTTTTTTCGGTTCCCATGAACCTTATTATAGCCGCCGCCGCCTCGGGGTCGACTGCCGCCACATTTACGGTAGTCTCCGATCCTTTGAAGATGAACACGGTGCTTGCTTCCAGCATGCCGTTGAGTTCGTACATGGAACTCAACGGCATATATTTCTATATATGGAACTCATGGAACAAATTCAATTACTTTGAACAAAAACCTCAATTAATTTTAAACTCTTATAACTTTTTTATTTGTTCTCCAATTTTTTCAAAATATATATCAAAATTCATGATTTTTTATGATCTTTCATATGACATCAATATGTAATCTCTAAAATGAAAAACAAATTTGAAATTATAACTGTTGAAGTTTTCTTGAACCAAAAAAGTACAAAATACAATTTTTAAATTCATTGAGCTTTCGCAAATACTAACTGAATATTTCATAATCCAATTTTACTTGAACAAAGTTCATTTATTTGTTAACCAAAAGCCGTTTAAAAAAATAGTGATTTTTTTTACTTCGAAATGTGTATTTTTTATTTCATAAGAATTCAGGTAAAAAATCAAAATGAAAATATTACTTATAATAATTTAATTAATGTTTTACTAAATTGATATGTAAAAAAATATGCAAAGTGTATTTTATTGACGGCGCACGGATGCAGGGAAAAACAGTATTGACGGAGTCTAAACAATGTTTTCATATGGACGGAGTTCAAATTTAACAATTTGGACTCTTCACCGCTACAAGTCTACAAATGGTCTTAGTGCTAGAGTAAAGTGTCTCGCACTTGCTTCCTATTTTCTCCGCATTAATTACTCCCTTTTTTATAACAAAAACAGGTAATTATGTCAACTCAAATGCTGACCAAACACTTTGCAGTATCTCAATTCGGTAAGACTCACTTTTGTAGGTAGAGTGCATTTAATGGTCTCATACTTTCGGCACATTTAAAAATTTGATCTACTAAACCAATTTTTACTATAATAACTTTACTAATCAAAAAATTATGAATGAAAATGTGATTATTAATTACCATGAGTATGTTTTATAGTCACTATGATGTAACCTTTGAATATAAATTGGGAGCTAAATTGGGAGCCAAATGTGATAGTAAAGGAATCTCAGAAATTCGGTTTTGCGATCGGTAAAGAGGGAGAAGAGGAGAAGAAGCAAGAGAAGGAGGAGAAAGGGATTACCTGCAGAGACGCTGGCTGGAGCATGGCCCGAGGAAGAGAATCTCGGTCACTCCATGGGAGAGGAGTTGCCGATGCGGAAAAGAAGATATGATCCCATGCGGATGGGGAAAAGAGGATGGGCGATGGTTTTATTGTACCAGGGGCATATCGGTAACAAGGTGTCACGCCCCGGACCTATCCGGACACGTCAACAACCCGCCGTACAATACGAATAGTCAACCGCAGTCCAACACATCTATATTATACAAAGCGTCTTGAATACCATTCACACATATAACATCCATAAACAAACATAATAAGTAATTCATAATGCAGCGGAAACATTGTTTAAAACAAAATGGCCATGCAGGGCTATTCACGAGCACGCAGGCTCTATAGTAAAATATCCATGAGCATGTTTAATATTGTTCAAAACAGAATGGAGAAAGCACGAACCACGTCTTCTCTCCAAATGATCACCCGAGC